GGCCGTCATTTGATAACGGCGTAAGTCTGAAAGCCTTTACACCCTTTCATTGATATGCATATTCTCCATAGTATTGTCTAAATATTTCCTATGAACCAACAGGGAGAATTTAATTGATAATCGAGAGCTTCCTCAGTCGTTTCCTATGTTCTTACATCCTTAAAGTGTGGTGCAAGAGTGATACTGAAATGATGATAGTCACTCTTAGGGATTAAAGGGTTAAGTATAACTGTAAAAGTACCTTAACTGGCATTTGTCAATTCAAAGCCGAACTAATGGCAGAAAAAAGGAGCTGCGCTGCTACGATCTTCCCACGCTGAGTTTGGTACAAGACAGCGCGAAAACATGGCGGTAAAAAATTAGATGCCTGTTTCTTTATGGCAGACGCGAAATTCTCAGTCTCTCGATTGGTTGTATTCTCGAAAAATTTGGAAAAAGAAATGTAATGATTCCCTTTCTTACAGTTTGAGACTTTGCCATTTTGGCGTTGTATACTTGTATGTCCTAAATCTTGTAATGAAAAACACCTTTCCTTCTTTCCATCAGGATCCGTTCGTTGCTTGTGCAGTATCAAAAGATTTTATCGATCGATGGAGGCAGTTCTTAAGGTAATAACTCACTGAGTTTGTAAAAAAAACACTCAGCAACTAAGATAACAGAAGATGTAATTTCACGGATTGCTTGGCACGAGAATCGGAGAAGGAAATAACATCTAGCCTGCGAACAAACTTGCATTATTAGCTCTTCAGTGCGAGCGATTTTCCCCCGCGAATAGTTCTGGCGCCTTGAGTAACGCTAGTCAGCGAGAGGTCTGCAAAGGGTCTAGCACTGATAATCCATTACCAGTGCCAGATCCCTTGCAGACTGCTTACTGGCTCGTTATACTCAAGGGTTCGTCCTGTAGCACTACTATTGAAGGCTTGCCTGTAAGCTAAGACAGAATATCGTTTCATCGCTGATTTACCAAAATCGGCACTTTGTTTTGACTCCAAGTTGACTATAAACAGCCGAAACATTCCTTGCGATCACCCGATGAAATGTGTGCCATATATACGTACTCGGAGTGGTTTGCCAACATCAAAGAATATGTCATAATCTAGACACTGATTAAAAAAAAAATGTTGATAACCAAGACACAAATAAAACCGCAATTCTGTTTTGCTAGGTACCCCATAAGGAATGTTCCTCCGGAAAGAATTACAAATGCACTTTTGCTTTGCCCCCATGAAAAGTTCCATTTTAATCCTGGCTGCGAAGATGACGTGGATGGTGCAAGCGAAATGTAAGTTGTTTGGTTTGTTTGCGATCTAAGGTATGAATGACATCGCGGCGGTTCATTGTAAAGAGTAACGTTATCTCCTCACCCACCCTCCCTTATTTCAGGTTGCACTATGTTTGGCAACAAGAGTGGAACGTGCTTACCCGAAGCTATCCATACGATCACGTGATCACCGTCACGAAAACAGTAACAGAAGACGATGTGAGGGAGCTGGTGACTACCCCTGGCAAGTCTCTCATTTTATTATGTTTTCCATAGATTGAAATCATAGTATTATAGGCTTAAAGCGGTTAAAGGGGGCAGTGTACGATCTCTTTGCTAAAATAAGTAAGATGCTTTAAATATATTTCTCTATACATATTGCATTTGATTCTATAGCTTTCCTCGGTATTTGTTCCTCGGGGAGAGCGCGAGCGCGTTTCTTGAACAGCAGCTGGCAGAAACCTCTTTCCGCCCTGATTAATCCCCTAGAACGTGCCCGACGTCGGGCGGATGTGTCGCCTTAGCCTCCTAACCACTAGGAAACGAACAACTTTTCGTGCGGTTTGTCATCACATGACTACTTCGACCGGTCAGCACGCTGGACTGTCTGAATTGGCCACGTGAGCGCTAGGAAAACATCAAGAAGTCATTCATTAACAGGGCGTGAAATTAACTTTTTTTCTGATAGCCACTTGGCTCCTAAATTCTTCAAAGTGGTAGCCAATTCAAAAAAAGTTGGTCGCCATTTTCAAAGACAAACAAAATCTTTCTTTACGCTGTCAGCGTTCTAGATAGACCCTCCAAAATTAAGTTAGGGAAAAGATCTTTAACGTGCTACAAAGTGGACACTAGGATGGATGATAAACAACGTTCAGGCTCATCTAAATCCAAGATGGCGTCTAGTTATCGATCGAGATGCATGTGCTACGTTTTGGAAACAAACTTAACGAGGAAGTTTGCCGCGGATTTATCTTTGGAAATCGTTTTAATTCACTATATCTCTTGGTAAGGTTATGATGAAACGTTCTAGTCGCCAATTTGGCGACTAACTTTCAGGATTTGGTCGCCAAAGTGAAAAATTTAGTCGCATTGGCGTCTGTGTTAGGCGCAATTTCACGCCCTGATTAATCAAGAATATGAACAGAGAACGTAGTATTCTCCAATTTCCATTTCAGAAATATGCACAGATTGTTGCTTTGCGCGCATACAGGAGAGAGCTCAGCACGTAGAAAACTATCGCTATGGTACAATCTTCGTGCGGAAAATCACTAAAGATCACA